AGATTAAATGAGATAATATATATATATATAGGACTTTGTCCTATTCACTTAAAGCAAAATAAAAAAAACACTTTAAAATGATTTTCTTCTTATAAGTGTAAAAAATAAAATCAAAGACAAAGAAAAAAAAACAATAGAAAAGTTTTTTTTCACCAGGGTTACCTCTACAATTATTTAAATGAGCAAATTATCTGACCTCGAGGCACCACGTTCTTTATTTGGTCAAGGATTAACCCAGGAAAGAGATGAAAACCTGTAACTTTACTGTAATCAGTCTCACAATAAATGTACCCAAAATGGTTTGAGTCCTTGTCTTATCAGAACCAATAATACTTTATCAAGACACAAAAGTGACATTAGCTTATGTTGGCATGTTCTCCACAGGCCATTTATTTACAGATTAAATGTATTTACAACTATGGTGAGTAAGAAGTGATGACATGTTGAACCAGGTAAAACTGACAGAGTTTGCAATCACAAGTGAATAAGCAAACAAACAAATAAAATAAACACTGAAAGGTGAGTTTGAGTTTTGGAGTGAGGTAAGGTGAGTTTTGCTTTTAGCTGAGGATTTAACTAGTGGGTCCTAGTTAAATTAGGGAGAAAAATTGTTTGGTTTACCAAATCTCATACAAAGATAAGAATCAAATTACATCTGAGCACCTGCTTGTCACCAGGACAAATGTTCACTTTTACCCGTTTGTTCCGCCGTGTGGGTACCAGGAGGGGAAGTCAGCGATTGAAGGTCATCTCTGGGGGTCGTTTCCCAGGTAGACTCTTCATGCAAGCTGGATGTCAGGTGGTCTGCCTGTAAAACTCGACTGGTCCCGTGGTCAGAGAAGGGGGTCACTCCCTGGTGACAACGTGGTCCGGTCCTCCCCAGGCGGCTGCAAGACTTCTTAATTTAATTTAAACTTTGCAGAGAAAACGAACTAAAAACGACGCATGAATTACAATTAGCTTATTTAACTTCTATAAAATCAAACTCAAATGTTGAGTTGATATTAAACGGTGGCTGTTGGTTCAACCCAGCGGGAGATGCAGAAGGGCCACCATCCTGCCCAGCCCATGGGGAGGGGCTGGCAGGCAGGGCCTCTGCTGAGCTTCTGGAAAACTGTTTCTGGCTTCTGATGTTGAAAAACTCTCAAAAACTCTGTCTTCTTCTACTCTCTGTCAGGAGCTGCACTAACTTTTAAAACTTCTGTTTTGGGTGGAGTAAAGGTTTTAGTTGGCCATTAAAAATGTTACACCTTATACAGGAAAAGTTTTTTAACAAATCTAATCTGTTTTGGAGGGAAAACTTTACTTCAGGACAAAGAAAAAGGGAGTGTTTTAGTTTAATTATCTTGCATCTAATTAAAGGGAAAGACATCTGCTTGCCTCAGTAAAATAAGAGTGTCACACTTTTAATTAAAAACTCAAGTCCTAAAGTTTCTAAGGATTAAATCATGGAATAAAACACACACTGTTTAAAATCATGAAATGAAAGAAACCTCTTATACACACAGCTATTGAATAGTTAACTAAGCAACACTTAGTAGATCTTTTATGGTCTTTTTAGTTCTTTTCTGTAAGAAAAATGGATTAGATGACATTCTTTGCAATAAGACAGAAAACATTAGATACACAGATTCCTTTATCTTTTCTCCTTTTTTTCACATTTAATGAAGAATGTAGGTCCTTTGTTCCCAGTCACGCCGAAGAGTCTGGTTAAAGGCATTTATGGTCCTTTTGAAGATGGAACAAACTGACAGTCCTTATGGTCACTCGAACTTGTGGGGGTTCAGGAATGTGGCAATTCTTATCTATTAACAGTAAGGCGTCAGGACGTCTGGTGGGGGTTTGTGTGAGAGATGTTAATTCGAGCCACAAAGGAAGTTCCATGCAAAAGTCTTTAGAAAATAGTCTGAAGTCAAAGTGGGGGTTTTCGTACTTTCTGAGCCATTGTCATAGGAACAAGTGAAATCTAATCAGAAATGATTATTTATATGCAGGAAAATGCTACACATTTTAGCATTTTAACACAAGTGCTACATGCTACACGTGACGTGCCTGCAAATAACACACTGTACGGTTTACAAGCATTACAGGTCCTTCTCAAAAAATTAGCATATTGTGATAAAGTTTATTATTTTCTCTAATGTACTGATAAACATTAAACTTT